CATAACTCAGAAATGTAAAATCTAAAATTTATAAAATTCTAAAGGGAGCTTACATCAACAGATATAAACAATTCACCAAAGTTTCATGAGAACTGCTGAAAGCATTTTTTAGTTATTGTCAGAAAACTGGAAAATCCCCCTTTTTTTATAAATAAAACCCTGTAACTCGGAAACGTTAAATCTAAACTTTATAAAAATCCAAAAGGGAGCTCATGTCAATAGATATAAACAATTCACAAAAATTTATTGCAAGTTGGTGAAAGCATTCTTGAGTTATTGTAGGAAAACTGGAAATTCCCCCCTTTTTTAATGAATAAAACCCCAAAACTCGGAAATGGTAAATCTGAAATTTATAAAAAACGAAAGGGAGCTCATGTCAATAGATATAAACAATTCACCAAAGTTTCATGCATATTGGTTAAAGCTTTTTTGGGTTAATGTCCGACATGTTGACGACGGACGGACAGACGGTCAACGGTATACCATAATACGTCCCGTAAACGGGCGTATAAAAATTAGATTATTTACTGACGTTGCATGTGTCTTCTCAATAAGATTTCATTCACAATCCTATACCAGATCTTTCACGATCCAATCACAATACTTGACCACCATTACTTATTCTTTCACGATCATTTTTTTCGATATACCGAATAACAGCCGTGTTATTGTATATGAGGGATATGTTCATTGACAAATCCTCTAAGCATGAAGGCATGACCAAAGCGGAAGTTCAGACTTATGCAGTTACTTCTTGAGATACCTATCAGTTATTTCAAGTCAGTTACAGTGAAATAACATTTAGGAGAAGGAGTTTTTATAAAGGGGACATTCAACCTCAGCATAAAGCTTTATGTGAGGATTCTACACTAGTGGCTGATATGTTGTTTGGTGATGACGTAAAAGAGAAAATCAAAGAATTGGTTGCTGGATATAGTGTTTGCAAAAAAAATGGGTAGTACCATAACCATGATAAATCAAGGAAATCTTATAATTATCAGTCATGTAATAGAGGACATAGTTATGGAGAGCTTGGATTGTCTCATAGATAGGGGAAAAGGAAACGCAAAATTGATGGAAGTAAACCAAACAAACGACCAAAACATTATGATGAGGATGGTTTTATAGACTACAGCAGGACTCAAAACAAGTAGAACAAGAATGTGTCCATAGTACACCGATGCCCCACTCGCACTATCATTTTCTATGTTCAGTGGACCGTGAAATTGGGGTCAAAACTCTAATTTGGCATTAAAATTAGAAAGATCATATCATAGGGAACATGTGTACTAAGTTTCAAGTTGATTGGACTTCAAATTCATCAAAAACTACCTTGACCAAAAACTTTAACCTGAAGCGGGACAGACAGACGGACGAACGGATGCAGAGACAGAAAAACATAATGCCCCTCTACTATCGTAGATGGGGCATAAAAACAAAGACCAAAAGAAGATCATTTTATTTCTGATAGTGATGATCACTTGCTTAATATAACTGATGTAAAACTACAAAATTTTTCTAACAATTTTATTGGGGGGAAAATTTCAATGTTTTTTCATCATTGGGAGGAATCAGCTGATTATTGGATGTTAAATATAATTGAAGGTTATCAGTTAGAATTTGAAAATATTCCTTCACAGGTCAAAAGGCCAAACCCACTTGTGCTGTAGAAAATCAATATGTTCAACAAGAAATATATAAGTTTATAACAAAAATAATTATTCAACCTTTTACTCCAACTAAGGATCAGTACATTTCAAATATTTTTGTAAGACCCAAGAAAGATTGCACTTATAGAGTTATTTTTAGTTGAACCTTGATATTGAACAAATACATTTCAAAATTGAAACTTTTAAAACAACAATCACAAACATTTCACAAAATTGCTGGTTTGGGTCTGTTGATTTAAAAGATGCATATTATTCTGTTAGCATCGATAAAAAATACAGGAAATATCTTAGATTTTATTGGAATGATGTTTGTATGAATATACTCGTTTGCCAAACAACAGCACCAAGATTTTTTACAAAAATTTTGAAAGTTGTATTTTCCAAATTGAGGAGTAAAGGGCATTGCAACAAGCCATATATTGATGATAGTTTACTTGTGGGCAAAAACTTTTCCGAAAGTCAAAGAAATAAATTGACATAATTCTAAGATCATCTTTGTTTTGTTTTACTATACATCCAGATAAATCTGTAAATTAGCCTACTCAATTTATTGTGTTTTCGGTTTAGTGATTCATTCAATAACAATGTGCATTAGAGCAACCGACCAAAAGGCAGACAACATTATAAAATAATATTCTCGGTTAATTCTTAAAAAAATAGATTACAATATGGGAGTTTGCACAAGTAATTTGAAAGTAAGAAGCAACAGAACTGGGTGTACAGTATGCACCATTATATATTAAATCTTTAAAAATGACAAAGGATATATATTGTTAAAACAAAATTATGGAAATTTTGATGCAAAAATGACTTTGTCAGATGGAAATATTTCATTTAAACTGGTGGGTTAATAATATAAAATCTAGTTTCAAACCAATTACTATGAAGGATCCTGAATTTATTCTTAAGACAGATAGTCCAAGCACTGGTTGAGGTGCAGTTGTGCAAGATACACTGTTAGAAACCAAAGGTTTTTGGTCATACAAAGAATAGAACAAGAGTGCACACGCTGAAATGTCTCGCCTGCTTTACTGACCATTGATTTTATGTTGAAAGTCTTAAGATAAAGCATTACAGAAAATTAACATTTTTAAAAATCTATGACAATGAGGTCAAGGTCAGATAAATTGTGTCAGACAGACATGTACACCTTACAATTTTTTTATTCACCAAATATAGTTGACCTATTGTGTATGCTTAATTGAAAACAGATCAAAACACAAAAACTTAAAATTGAGCAATGAACCATGAAAATGAGGTCAAGGTCAGATTATACCTGCCAGACAGACATGTGCACCATACAATTATTCCATACACCAAATATAGCTGACCTATTGCTATAAGTATTTGAAAAACAGACCAAAACACAAAAACTTAACATTGACCATTGAACCATAAAAATGAGGTCAAGGTCAGATGATACCTTCCAGACAGACATGTGCACTTATTACTACCACTGGGTCGATGCCTCTGCTGGTGGACTGATAGTCCCCGAGGGCATCACCAGCCCAGTAGCCAGTACTTTGGTACTGGCATGAAAATATGGATTTTGTGTTATCAAAATTTGCTGTTACAAAATTTTGGAAATTATTTAAAATTAAGGAATGTATCTCCCTCATGCAAAGCTCTGATTCCTTGTCCGGCTTTGGTTATACTTTTTTGTCCTTTTTGGTTTATAGCTCTTCATCTTTTTAATAAGCTTTGGATTTTCAAATATTTTGGCCTCGAGCATCACTGAAGAGACATTGATTGTGGAAATGCGCATCTGGTGCAGAAAAATTGGTACCATTTATGTTATTACTACCACTGGGTCGATGCCTCTGCTGGTGGACTTATAGTCCCTGAGGGCATCACCAGCCCAGGAGCCAGGTCAAATGTCATAAGGGTTGTTTTTGCTTGAAGGGCGTCATTTACATTGTATAAACAAGTCTAAATTGAAAACAACGTTCAAACCTATGATTGTGTTGAATAAAAACCGCAATTTTTATACGTGTGCATGTAAAACAAATTTCTTGGTAGAGGGGTCTAAATACAGCACAAACAACATTTTCCAAAAGACCAAAAAAGTGAGAAGTATATTTTAACAAATGGCATTTGACTAACAGGTCGAACAACTGAAGGTCTTAAACCCTGCTGACTGCCATTGACGATTGCCAAATAAATTGATCACGAGATGTAACATGTATCTTAATTATTAATTTAATACCAAACAGAAAACAATAAACTTGCGGAGAAGATGGTATACCGCAAACATGAGGTGCAAAAATTGTACACCATATCCGGATTTCGACAATTAATGTCTCTTCAGTGATGTTAGGGATCGAAACGGTATTTGGAAGGCCATATAATTTACCTCAATTTAGGATTGACTCTTGAATTTTAAAGAGTCGAAATAGGATGAACGGATCATATAAACTGAAGGAAAATATAATACAAGCCCAAACGAAAAAATATAAACAAGTCTAAATTGAAAACAACGTTCAAACCTATGATTGCGTTGGATAAAAACCGCAATTTTTATACGTGTGCATGTAAAACAAATTTCTTGGTAGAGGGGTCTAAATACAGCAAAAACAACATTTTCAAAAAGACCAAAAAAAGTGAAAAGTATATTTTAACAAATCGCATTTGACTAACAGGTTGAACAACTGATGTTCTTAAACCCTGCTGACTGCCATTGACTATTGCAAATATACATTGTATATATCTATATATATGTAAATATTAGCAAGTCTAAATTGAAAACAACGTTCAAACCTATGATTGCTTTGGATAAAAACCGCAATTTTTATATGTGTGCATGCAAGAACAAATTTCTTGTTAGAGGGGTCTAAATACAGCACAAACAACATTTTCCAAAAGACCAAAAAAGTGAAAAAGTATATTTTAACAAAACGCATTTGACTAACAGGTCGAACAACAAATGTTCTTAAACCCTGCTGACTCCCATTGGCGATTGCCAAATAAACGGATCACAAGGTGTAATAAATGGATCTTAACTAAAAATTTAATGCCAAACAGAAAACAATAAACTTGCGGCAAAGATGGTATACTGCAAACAAAGGTGCAAAGATTTTTGTACACCATATCCAGATTTCGACAATTAATGTCTCTCCAGTGATGTTAGGAATCGAAACAGTATTTGGAAGGCCATGTAATTTACCTCAATTTAGGATAGACTCTCGAATTTTGAGGAGTCAAATTAGGATGAACGGATCATATAAACCCGAAGGCAAATATAATACAAGCCCAAACGAAAAAATATAAACAAGTCTAAATTGAAAACAACGTTCAAACCTATGATTGCCTTGTTAATTTTAGAATATTTACCATCGTCTTCCTCATGTACTTGTACTACTGTTGTGTTTGTTCGTACAGATGATGACTGTATATCTTTATACTGTTGCTGAAAAATGATTTCTTTGTTAAATATATATTCAGTGTTAAACAAGAGTGCACACACAGAATGTCTTGCCTGCTTTACCTATAATGATCAAACTGATGTAATATGAAGATTTTAGTACAAGTATCACATAAACTTAATCCATGATCCATGTAAATGAGGTCAAGGTCAGTGGAGAACCACCAGACAGGCATGTACACCTTACAATCATACCATGCACCAAATATAGAAAGCCTATTGAATATAGCTTCTGAAAACCTGATTTAATCAAGAAAACTGAACATTGATGAATAAACCATTAAAATAAAGTCATGGTCATATGAACCCTAACAGACAATATGTACACCATGCAGTCATTCCATACACTAAACAATGTTGACCTATTGCTTATAATTTCTTAGAAACAGACATAATCATGAAAAGTTAACATTTACAAATGAACCTTGAAAATAAGGTCAATGTCAGATGAACCCTGCCAGACACGGTGTATATATATCCCAACCCGTTAGTTATGCCCGTGTGTGTAGTGATGTCATAGATTTTAACGAAAGTAATCAATGCATCACTGGTAAATTATTAAATCAAGGATTTCGTTACCATAAATTACGTAAAACTTTTGCTAAGTACTTTCATAGATACAAAGATTTGATTAGTAAATTTGGCTGTACTTGTAGAAAACTGATTAAAAACGGTATTTCACATCCTAAATTTTACGGTAATATTGTACTTAAAGCGCGGAAATCACTATGTGATCCGTGTAAACTCATCGAACCTTTAAACAAACTTATTAGTAAAGGTTATCTTACAAATATTGTAATTAGATCTTTGAATATAGTTCACATTGGCACTAATATCGATTTTGTCATCAGCAAATTAAAACATAACTAAACTTGTATTTTTTTCAAGTGGGATGTATTAAGACACACCCACGTTCGTTTGGATCTATAAAGAGGTTAAACTCCTAACTATCCTACTGTCTGTCGATACATTTATTTTTGGCATTGCACTAGTCATGTCTTCTTTGACTGTCCATGACGTTAAAATACTAAATCCCTGGGATGTGTTTTAGTTGATTTTAGTCTCTGATGCATGATTTTTTATTATTAATTGTTTTGGCTTCTAACTAGCTGTCAGTAACTGCGAGTACTCTCAAATCGTACTTTCTTGTTTATTTAACCTGTTGATACTAATTGTATTGCTTTTTTGTTATTTAATGTTATTCAGGGTTATATCTGGTCTATATACCAGCTTTGATAAGTGTTTGGTATAACTATAAATTTTCACTTCGTACTATGAACATCAAAATTATTTATTTTGTAAAAATATTTCCTTTCTCTATTGGTACTGTACACATATACCTAACAACAAAATTATTTTCATTTACCTGTGTTTAAAGTTATTGCACATGGCTGATATTTTTGTTCGAGCATATTGTTTTTCTTTAATTGTTTAACATTTCTTACCGATATAACATGTTACTTTTATTATTCTTCCCTTAGTTTATTTATTTTGTATTTACATTGTGTCATAGGTCAAATTTATTTGTTCAGTGTATGCTCAATGGTGTTAATATGTCCTTTGATTGAGTTAAGCTATTTCAGTTGATATTTTATAGGTTGTCTTCCTATGTTGTGATGTTACACTATTGTTTCAGAAAAAGGGTGAAGGTTTGGTACCATTAAAACGTTTAAACCCGCTGCATTTGTTAAGTCAGGAATCTGATGTTCAGTAGTTGTCGTTTGTTGATGTGGTTCATAAGTGTTTCTCGTTTTTTATATAGATTAGACCGTTGGTTTTCCCGTTTGAATGGTTTTACACTAGTAATTTTTTGGGGCCCTTTTTAGCTTACTGTTCGGTGTGAGCCAAGGCTCCGTGTTGAAGACCGTACTGTGACCTATAATGGTTTACTTTTATAAATTTTGACTTGGATGGAGAGTTGTCTCATTGGCACTCATACCACATCTTCTTATATCTATGTACACCTTACTATCATTCCATATGCCAAATATAGGCTATTGTTTATAGTATCTGAGATATGAACTTGACCACGAAAAAAATTAACCTTGATCACTGATCCATGAACTCAGGTCAAGGTCAGGTGAAGTCTGATGGACATGTAGACCTTCCTAGGATCCCATATATCAAATATAGATATCCTATTACTCTTACTAAGTGAGCACTTCACATGACTAAAAAATTGTAAATTTTGTTCAAGCAGCGGCTGAACCATGAGAATGAGGTAAAGGACAATGAACATATATGACAGCAGAAACTTAATAACATAAGGCATCTGTATACTAGGTATGAAGCATCCAGGTCTTCTACCCTCTGAAATATAAATACAAATAGTTTATGCCGACATGGGCGCTGGATAGTTATCCCTATGTCTTTCAATCTGCAAATTTTGTCGCAGGCTAGACAAACTAGAGGCTCTAAAGAGTCTGTGTCGCTCACCTGCATCTTCAACAATGGCCACTTTTTAGTAAAAATCATCATTAAAGGGGAATAACTCTATTAAGAGTTAACTGACAATTCCAGTCATGTTGACATATTTGTAGATCTTATTGCTGATAATTTTTCCTGTTTAAAGTTTCTATTTATCTATTATTATTTTTTAAGATAATAGGCAAAAAACATTAAAAAATATCATTAAAGGGCAATAACTCCAATAATGAGTTGACTGAAGATTTCTGCCATTATGTCTTATTTTTGTATCTTGTCTTGCTGATCTTTGTGCTATTTAAATTTTCTATCTATCTATTACAGTTTTCAAGATAATAAGCAACAAGAGTGCACTAGCTGAAATGTTTCGCCTTCTTTACTAACCATTGATATTATGTTGATAGTCCTAAATATAAAGATTTACTACAACTATCACATAAACTTAACATGTTTCAAGAAAATGAGTTCAAGGTCAGATAAACCAAATTTGAAATACATATACACCTTACAATCATTCCATACACCAAATAAGCTTGAAATATAGTTGACCTTTTGCACATCTAAGAAACAAACTTAACCAGGAAATCTTAACATTGGTCAATGAACCATGAAAATGAGGCCAAGGTCAGATAAACCCTGCCAGAAAGATATGTACACCTTACAATATTTACATGCTTTAAATATAGTTGACCTTTTGCATATATTATCTAATAAACAAACTTAACAAGGAAAACTTAAGATTGACCAATGAACTGTAAAAAATGAGGTCAAGGTCAAATAAAACATGCCAGACTGACATGTACATCGTAAAATATTTTCATACACCAAATAAAGTTGACCTATTGCATGCAGTATTAGAAAAACAGACCAAAACACAAAAACTTAACTTTAACCACTGAACCATGAAAATGAGGTCAAGGTCAGATGACAACTGCCAGTTGGACATGTACACCTTATAATCATTCCATACACCAAATATAGTAGACCTATTACAGTATAAGAATAAAATGCTTCGCTGGGCGCAGCTTGATACAACCGCAGAGGTCGAACCCTGAACAGTTGGGGCAAGTATGGACACAACATTCAAGCTTGATACAGCTCTGAATTTTGATTGTGATTAAATATTTGACACAGCATAGGTTTCTGACACAGAAAGAATGTGGTCTAAGAACTTGAATTTTTTTAATTTACCTATTATGGTCCAATGTCCAAAATCAAAATACATGGTTAGATTCAGCATATCAAAGAACCCCAAGAATTCAATTTTTGTTAAAATCAAACTAAGTTTAATTTTGGACCCTTTGGACCTTAATGTAGACCAATTTAAAAAACTGGGCCCATAATCAAAAATCTCAACACATGTTTAGATTCAGCATATCAAAGAACCCCAAGAATTCAATTTTTGTTAAAATCAAACTAAGTTTAATTTTGGACCCTTTGGACCTTAATGTAGACCAATTTAAAAAACGGGACCCAAAATTAAAAATCTAAAAACACGGTTAGTTTTGGCATATCAAAGAACCCCAATAATTCAATTTTTGATGAAATCAAACAAAGTTTAATTTTGGACCCTTTTGACCTCAATATGAACCAATTTGATAGCGGGGTCCACAAATAAAAAATCTAAATACTTGGTTAGATTCAGCATATCAAAGAACCCCATATATTCAATTTTTGTTGAAATCAAACAAAGTTTAATTTTGGACCCCAATTTGGACCAACTTGAAAACTGGGCCAAAAATCAAAAATCTAAATACATGGTTAGATTCAGCATATCAAAGAACCCCATATATTCAATTTTTTTTTAAAATCAAACAAAGTTTAATTTTGGACCCCAACTTGGACCAACTTGAAAACTGGGCCCATAATCAAAAATCTAAACACATGTTTAGATTCAGCATATCAAAGAACCCCAAGAATTCAATTTTTGTTAAAATCAAACTAAGTTTAATTTTGGACCCTTTGGACCTTAATGTAGACCAATTTAAAAAAAACAGGACCCAAAATTAAAAATCTAAATACACGGTTAGATTTGGCATATCAAAGAACCCCAATAATTCAATTATTGATGAAATCAAACGAAGTTTAATTTTGGACCCTTTTGACCTCAATATGAACCAATTTGATAGCGGGGTCCACAAATAAAAAATCTAAATACATGGTTAGATTCAGCATATCAAAGAACCCCATATATTCAATTTTTGTTGAAATCAAACAAAGTTTAATTTTGGACCCCAATTTGGACCAACTTGAAAATTGGGCCAAAAATCAAAAATCTAAATACATGTTTAGATTCAGCATATCAAAGAACCCCATATATTCAATTTTTGTTAAAATCAAACTAAGTTTAATTTTGGACCCTTTGGATCTTAATGTAGACCAATTTGAAAACTGGACCCAAAATTAAAAATCTAAATACACGGTTAGATTCGGCATAACAATTAAATAAATGTGGTCAAAGATTTTACAAATCTAATGCGCCATACTGTGCAATTAAAGATTACTTCTTGAAATTTTTCAATATTTGAAATTTGAAAAAAAAAAAATATTTGAAGAATAAT